TTTCTTTTTAAAGAAAACATTAAAGATACATTATGGGCGATTCGGTAACGAGTTGGCAGTTCTAACTATAATAGTTACAAACTAGATACTGTAAAGGTAATTTGCTGAAAATTTCATTCAAATTGATCCACTATGAACCGAGAACTAAGCGACTGAAATTTCCCCCTAGCCTCGGTCATCATTACTAAAGTCAGTACAATAAACAGCATAGTCTCGATTATCCATTTAATCGTTAAATCGAGAAGGAAAGTTATGCAGCAAATCAACTCACAATCCACTAAAGATCACAGGCGCTGCCATCTAGAGTTGATTATGGCCTGGATAGGTTAATTAATGTCTAATTAATAATTTGGATAAAATTTCAGGCCTAAAGAAAGACCTTCAATAGACAGATTTAGCTCTTGCATAATGTATGTTTAAGAAAAACATTTATGATCGCATGATTAAGTACTTCTGACGTTACAATTCACAATTCATGAACAAAATGGGCGTAAACTATAAAATGGTAGTAATTCGCCGGTATCTCGTATATTTCAGCGTCTAGAACAATCCCGTGCTCTCAGTCCAGAGGAAAGTCACAATTTCGTCTCCGTTAATATTTTGGGAATGTTCCACAGGATGTTCCCGTCGAGTTTGATTCGCCTCCACAAGACGAGAGAAGGGTAGGGAAAAACACGAACGGCGCTTAGGCCCCCATTCTGCGCAATGAGAACTACCTACTTTAAGAATAGATTGCTGCCATGAATGGCCGCCAGCCGCCATATTCAAAAATGAGTGCATTGTTTTATAATGTGACTAATCCAGTTTACATCTTTCATCAACACAAAGACTGCATACATATTTTTGATTTACGTGAATTGAAGCAGAATAATACTTCTCAAAATTTTCAAAGTATACTTAGTAAATCGGTCAAATGTCGGTAAGTTAACTTCGTTTCTGATACAAAGCGGAGCTAATTCTAGACAGACAGTGTAACTTTCGTATGGTATGCCCCATCTGTTGCGAAATGAAATAAAGTGGGGTTTAACGTCTTACTTCTCTGCTCCAGCTGGGCTATTGAGGATGGGTATACGCCATGTATAGTGGGAAATTGTGTGCGAACAGCGGCGCTACGGCTTACTCTTATATCGAATTTCAAATGTTTTTTGGTCGACCCTCCGTCTGGCATTACGGAAAAGTACGCTGGAAAATACCGAGTGAACGTTCTCGAAAACCACTGGGATCGGCCCAGGGACCTTCTGGTTAGCGATCCAGCGCCTTACTCACTGAGCCACCGTGGAGCTCAGAAGAGAGAAGATGAGATGAGGTTGCAGTTGGCACCTTGATCGATGTCGGGTGCCGTTCGCCACAGGGTAATAAAGATGAATAGAACACTAAAGTTACAACATACCTGATTTTTACTCTACTATATCGGTTTAGTCTATCAATGTAGCCTACAATCACACCATACATATCAATTTAATATCTTTGAATATTAAGATGACATTTAATATACAGTTTGTTATTTTGTTGGCTATCATATTCTATACTCTATGGTCCATAATACATGCTTACTATCATATTTCAAACTTTGCAATCTAATCCATTAAGCCTGTGATTTTCACCCTCGAGGTCTTCTTCGCCAGTTGGTCAAACACAACAATTGGTTTGATGTGATTTAAAGTAACTGTGCTGATTTGCATTATCAGTATAATATCAAATTTTATACGGTTTGTTACAGGTCAAAATGTACTCATGTTGATTATTTAAAAGTGTGTGGGGGGGGGGGGGCACGTTTCTAACCAATCTGATTAAAACCCAGATCCTATTTCGTTTCGTATTTTATTGTTCAAAATTTCGTTTAACTTGTCTTTACTACAATAGGATCTGGAAGAGTTGTTATATAACCCGCGTTCTGGATGATGTGCGGGATTAGCAAATGAAACTGTCTGTTACGGCTAGTTGTTGCCTTGAGATGCACGGGACTGTGGGTAACCCACTAGAAACATCAACGCTGATCGGTTAATCAAATGTCTGACGTCATAGGTCAAAACTCGCTCTATGACCTCTGACGCGACCTCCCACTATAACTCTTGAGATCTTCAGGTAGTAGAGGCCATCGAAATTATAAAGAAAACGAAACGAAAAAAATATCTGTATTTTAATTAGATTGGTCTTTAACTCAATATCACCCACCGTCTTCGACATGCCAAACACGACGTATTGGTCAATTTAAATCAACATTGATGTTGTTATCTTACCGTGAAAAGATTGGCTTCTGATATCCAAGATTTAAGACACAGTGAAAAGTTTAAAATTGGCACACGAGTCGCGTGCCAGAATTCTCTCGAGTGCCATTTGTAATGAAGTGACTCAATGAACGGGGCTAAACATATCTCACAGGAGAACGCTACCAGTGTAGACTGGAATAACCAGACGCCAAAAACTGCCATTCAATTTGGAATCTTCGCGTATTTCGCCGAACATAACTGATTAGAAATTACAGTAAAACAGAAACGATTGAATGTAATATTCCATTATTATATGCGTTGCGATACATTTTTTTCCATTTCTAGGTGCCAAAGAATGGCGATTTAGCTCCTTTAAGAAGGCAAAATCAAAATATCAACGCTAGTTATTCTCCTGGCTTGGTTGATTCAATCGGATTAAAAACAGGCCCATCAATTACATTTCCTTCGCAAAAACAAAGATCTTCGACCGCCGTTATAAGATCATGAAAAACACCTTTATCTGACAGTTAGTCTACCATAGATTGCAAATGGCCACAGATTCAACTTCGAAGAAATGAAGTTCGGCGTTGCTGACAGAAAGAACCGTGAAAGACACGGAGCGGGTAGAGGGTGCCATTTACATAGGGGTCAGCATTGATCAATATACAAATTCAAATCATCATATCGTAAATACTGAACGGACTTGAATCATGTCTGGTCTGGTACTCCTGTTGGAGATCCAACCTGTACAATATATTGTCAAGTGCAAGGGATTCATCGCTCAAATCACAAATGGAGACATTAACTGCACATAATACAAATGCAGCATCTAATAGAAGTTGTTCGATAAGCACGTGAAATTAATATTGAGCGAATATGGGGCGAGGTGTTCGCCAGTTGTCAAGAGGGCGTGGCGCTATTTTTACTCCGATGGGAATACGATGAAATTGGGTTTTACGTCCTACTTTAATGCACCAACTGGCTTATGAACACATCCATACACATCCATATCGGAAAACCTTACCCGGACAGTGGCGTTTCTAGCTACTCATCACTGAATCCCAACTACAAAGAACTTTTGGTTTTTGACCCATTCGAATTACTTGGTGTTTTTCCACTTGTTATGAGTGCATTCCGCCGTGAACACATTAGAGACTTTTGGCAAGCGTAAATTTCTGGTCCGTATCGCGTATCCGTATAGATTTTGCGTGTGACGTCATCAATGTGTGTGCATTTCTCATACGTGATACGTCACACGGATACGGCAGCACGTATCGAACAGCTTTCATACGGAAAAGGTCCGTATATCATTGTCGTGTCCTTTTAACGTCTTTTTTGCTACTTTTAGACACTGAAATGTTGTATCGTAGCGTTTTTATGAATCTGTGTGCATTCCAGAACATGAAGGTGTATATTTGATGTGATTTGAACCATGATGGTTGATCTACGTGCTAAATTTAGGGAACGGAACCTTGCAATTCTGTAAATGATTTTATTCTGTGGTAAAGGGGTATAAACTTTCTGAAATGATACCAAAAATTGCAGTCGAGTCGAAGATTTTTAATAAGATTCGACATTATTTTTTTTAATAGCTCAGCGACTGTCGGGCGACTTTATTCCCTCCGGGAAATTGTCGGCTCTAATAGACACTTGACTAGTACTGATGGTGATCTTGCCATCTGCCATCATGCTGTTATAGAACTAAGCTCAGTTGATCGACGCACACGTACGCGACGCGAAAATCTGCCAAAACTCTAAAACTACATTGACGCAACGTATCACGTATACCATACGAATACGTGATACGGATGGGAAAATTCCGCTTGCCAAAAGTCTCTATTCGCTGTACGAAACTTACGTAACAAACGTAAAACCGATATTTTGACGTTTTTAGTATACTCGGAGAGTAAGACGCTGAGTGAGTAAGACGCTGGCTCGCTAGCCTGGAGGTCCTGGTGTTGTCCGAGAATGTTTCTCGGAATTTTCGGCGTTGTTCCCTCTTGTCAATGGTGTAAGACTGAGGGTTGTCAAGTCGTTCGGATGGGTCGAAAAATCGAGGTCCCGTGTAAAAATTGGCGTGCACGTAAATGAACCCTCAATTGACAGTTGGAGTGAGATATAGGATCGAGTAGGCCGTACAGATAATAGTGCATCTTATGCATTTGATCTTTTCCATTTGATGGACATTAATTGGCATGTTGGGTTTTATAACTGCATCTACACATTTGATAGTTATTATTGACATATTGCGGGGTTTGTTTTTTTTTTTGTTGTTTTTTTTTTTTTGGGGGGGGGGGGGTATAATGCCTCTTTTCCATTTGTTACAGGGTAGTTTTAATTGACATGTTTTTTCTTTAAAAAAACAAAAAAAAAACAAAATACTGAAAGCAAAGCACAGGAAGATTTTTTGGGGTTTTTTTTTTGTTTTACTGGGCATCAAGTAAATAATGCATTTAGAACATAGTCAAATATTACAGTAGGCTATTAAATAATTTTTTAAAAATCGGGACGTTTTCTTCAAATGATTAACTCAAATAAGTTGACTACAAACCGGTTCAGGTTTAATAACCGGAAGTTATACAACAAATATTGGATCTGTACTTACCCTAAATGGTGTTTTCTATTTCCACAATACATGTAATTTCATTTCTAATATTGTCTTGGATGTATTAATATAACCATTACACATAATTCTAGCATTTACAACCCATTTAATATTCATGAAAAAGGCAAAGAGAATATTGCAGATTTTGATGTTTTGATCCAGCGTCTAAATATTGACTAAACCGACTTTGTTAGTTACTCCACCGTGTGGTCATTTTGTGGTTTACATAAACCCATTTCATTTCGTAAACTAAGAATTGTGTCAAAATGTTGGCAAGTCGAATTTCTGGTCAACAGGCAAGCAGATTTTTCAGCTTGTTGAAAAGGCACAACAGTACCCTTGTTATTGCAGAACACAATAATGAGAAGCTAACACCAATTACTCTAAATACAGTAGCGGCCGCCAAGAAGTTGGGAGGCGATGTTTCTTGTTTAGTTGTTGGTACACAGTGTTCAAAGGTCGCCGAAGAAGTCAGTAAAATAGAAGGCGTAAATAAAGTTCTTCTAGCAGATAATGACGTATTTAAAGGTTTCCTGCCAGAAGCAATTAGTCCTCTACTTGTAGCCACTCAAAATCAGTTTAAATACACCCATATTTTAGCTGGAGCGACTGCATTTGGTAAAAATTTAATTCCAAGAACTGCTGCCTTGCTGGATGTGTCCCCTATATCAGATATAATTGGTGTTGAATCCCCCGACACTTTTATAAGGACAATTTATGCAGGTAATGCTATTCAAACTGTAAAATCAAATGATGCAGTAAAAATAGTAACAGTCAGAGGCACTGCTTTTGCACCAGTTGAAGCCACAGGGGGTTCAGCAACTACAGAGCAAGCGCCAGGTAGTGATGTTACTAACACCCTTTCAGAGTTTGTATCTCAGGAACTTACTAAAAGTGATCGTCCAGAATTAACAGGTGCTAAAACAGTCATATCTGGAGGCAGGGGTATGAAGAATGGAGAAAATTTCAAACTTCTATACGATCTTGCTGACAAAATGCATGCTGCAGTTGGCGCTTCCAGAGCCGCAGTTGATGCAGGTTTTGTACCCAATGATATGCAAGTCGGACAAACAGGGAAAATTGTGGCACCAGAGCTGTACATTGCTGTCGGTATATCTGGGGCTATTCAACATTTAGCTGGCATGAAGGATAGTAAAATAATTGTAGCCATCAATAAAGATCCTGATGCACCAATATTCCAAGTAGCTGATTACGGATTAGTGATGGATCTTTTTAAAGCAGTTCCAGAATTAGATAGCCTGATAAAGTAATAAAATCAGATGAATGAAACCACCTTCAAAAATAACACAAAAATCACTCACTTATTGGACTTATTTTTGAAATGTGATGATTTTAAAAACTTTGTGTGACTGGCATAATGAATGGATTCTTATTAATGAACATGTGACTGTGAGAATTAATAAAAAGGCATTATATCTTAACATATTACACAAATGTATGAATATTAACGAATTGAATTTTATACATGCGGTAGATCTATTATAAGGCCCACTGTACATGTTTTTGAGAATAACAGTCTAAGTCAAGGCCTACTTATATTGACATTGAAATGAGCATACTGTTATTTAAATTATTATATACCGTAAATACATTAGAATTGTTTTGTTTTTTTATATTTTAAATAAATCCAAACACATTCATTGTTCAGTGTGCTAATCCTATGAAGGAAATTGTGGTCATACAGCCCTGTCTTTATACAAATCCTTCTGTCAAGGTTTTTTTTTATGTACACAAGACCTCAGCTTTTTATTCCTTGCCAGACCCTCCAACTTACACCAATGAAGAAGAACAACCATGCTGAAAAATACAGAGTAACTTTGTCTGCTGGGATCAACCTCTAGATGTCCTGGTTAGTGAAATGCAGTGGGGTTTATTCGGTTTAACACCCTACTGTTCTGCTTTGACTTGGTTATATGAGGGCAACTAGGGCCTACTCTTGTATGGAATTTTAACTGTCAAGGGATCTTTTACATGCACGCCAATGTGTACACAGGACCTTGTATATTCATCCTATTTGATTCACTATAAGTTGTCCCTTGCCAGTCCCTCTGTCTTGCACCACTGACAAGGGGGAACAATGCCAGAAAATCCCAATGAACTTTCTAGGCCAATGCAGGGATCGAACACGCGACCTCCAGGTTTGCGAGCCAACTTCCAACTTAATGAGCCATGGTGGCTCCCCCTGGTTAGTGAACCACGGCATTTGCTTCTGAGTCCCCATCCCTTCTGAAATTTGATCACTATATTAGCTACATTTGGAGAGAGAGATAGATGAATGAGTTAACTCCACTCAACACAAACTAGGCCATTTTGGGACTGCCACATGGTTGAGGTTCTTTAGCAGTTGGGTGAAACCGGAGCTCTTGTTCTTTCATCATTTACGGTAGGTACATGTAATGGCATCATTTATTAAGAACTATTTATTAAAACCACATTTAGTAAAAATTGTCATTTATTAAACAAACATATACATGTATTATAAAATATATATTAAAACTAACTATTAAAAAATACATTAAAGGGCATTAGCTAAGAAGAGATAATGAGCTGACAAGTCTTGCTATAATAGTTAAAAATAGACAACGAAAACAAAATATGCTAAAATTTCAATCAAAATGCTTCACTCAATTGATTCAAATTTAGGCTGGTCTTGGTCGTCATTACTAACGTTGGTATGATCACAAACAAAGTATTGATTATCCATTTTTATGTTAAATAATCCATCAAAAAATGTTTTCAAATCCAGTAAATATCACAGGCTAACAATGGCATCGAGAGTTGATTATGGTATGGATAAGCTAATTAATGTCTAATTAATAATTTAGTGAACATATCAGGCCCAAAGAAAGACCTGCAATAGGCAGGTTTACCTCTTGCATAATGTATATTTAATAATCATTTTTTAAAAAATATATTAAAAATCATAAATTAAATAAAAAAAACATAAAGTCATTTAATAAAACAACTAGGTGGTCAACGACCTTGAGGATTTATATCTAATGGTTGTGGCATATATCGCTGTTGATTAGAATCCGTGTGATTTAAGAAAAGGATTTAGGGCCATGGAATGGCTTCACTTCATTTTGAGTTATTGGGGATTAGAACTGTGGTCTGAACCTGTTAAAAATCTTACAGAGTTGTGTCCCTTTAGTAGAGCCATCGAAAATGTGCATACAACAATTAAAAAAAAATATATCATATTTGTTAAATTATCAACCCGCTGACTCAAAACACACGCTCTTCTTGATAAAGGGGGGGGGGGTGGCAGAATGCTTTAATCGTGCGTGTTGCATCATACCGTCTGTCATTGAGCCGAGTGGCGGGGTTTCAATTACCCGTTAGCGCAATATATCCCGGTTGGAGCTGACGTGCCATAAAACAACATTTCATTTCATTTCGATTACCCGCGTGTGCGTGACAAGGAAAAGATCGAATCACCTGTCCAACCTCGTGGATTTTCTCCGGATCCTCCGATTTACTCCCAATACTAAAGATCCCTACACGCAAGCGAATTAATGAAATAAAATTGAAGCATAGGCGTTTTTCGTTATGGTTTGAATTGGTGTTAGTACCCCCCCCCCCCCCACCCATTGTTTTTCGGGGCGGGGGGGGGGGGGGTCTGAATATACTCCCCCCCCCCCCAAAAAAAAATATAAAAAAATTACATAGTACGATATAGGTCTATTATTATTTTCAGGTACCGTAACGTTATCAAAATATGAGTCCCTATTGAGATGTCAATTTCATAGTCATTTTAAACCTGTAACGGTAAATTTCTTTGATCTTTGGGGTATATTCTATGCCCGAAATAACTTGAGGTCTGAAAGTCGGGGCGGCTTTGGATATATACAGGGGAATTTGGGGTTATTCTTCTGAAAGTTTTTCTTTAAACCTGTAACAGGTTATTCTTCCAGGGTAGGGTATTTTTTCATAAGAAAACATGATCTAAGGATTTCCTTATGGGAATTCTGGGATATTCTCATTTTGCGTACATGTAAACATAGACGGTTTATAAGCAAGATAAAGTCCTCGACTTCGTTTATGCTGGGGAAGAAAGACTTCAGAAAAAACCCCTCGACAGAAAAACCTCGGCCTGCCGGCCTCGATTTTTCTTTTACTCGGTTTATTTTCTTCAGTCTTTTTTCCCCAACATAACCTCAGGTTCGGGCTTTATCCTACACAGAAAAGCTTACGTCCACTTTCGTGCATTTTGGCTTTGATGTAATTAAACAATGGCAGATTCGAGAATCGTCGCATTTCGGATCGTTGGTAGTTCTCATTTTTTCGACCCATGGTGATAAGATAATTTTAAACAATAATATCCAATATGCATTCCTTACCTTACATGCCGTATGAAGAAGCGACAGTTAACGGAATTCAGCTTTCAATAAAATTCTCTTCGAAAAGAAAATTATTGGCCATTTTGTTTATTTCCATTTAAGGCCTATAAATTATTTTTTAGAGATGATATGAGATATCAAACAATCACCGCTTGGATTAATTATTGAGTAAATAATGAGTTGTCGACGGCTTTATTATTGATCCGTGACAGTTGATTAGTATTACTCCATGAGTCATAAACTAAAGTTATGTGATCAAGTTTTGTTTCATTTGGATCCTCCTCATAAAAATTCCCCTACTAAACTCTCTTTGTCGTGTTGTTCATAATTCAAGCGTAACATTCAATATGTAAAAGTCATGAAATAAATATGAATACAGCACCCCCTGACTTAAACATGATAAACATTGTATTAGTGTGATGTTTTAGTTTAACCCCGTAAAATATGCCAAAACAGTGTTTACAGAAGATTGAAACTTTAAAAAAAAATTTATGGGGGTGCCTCCACCGAATTTACAAAAAAAAACCCAACTAATATATTAATTCGGTAGTCCGTACAATCACAAAGTACATGCTCGTAATCAACCAAGTGAACAATAAGCTTAAGTCATATTGAAGTAAATTATTCACTAATATTTGTCCTCATACTTATAGAACAAGTATCTCAAACTATGAACTTTGGGTGTTCATTATTTGGGAACAGCTTTTAATAGCCAGTCGTAGGTCATCTGTACGATTACAAACGGTGGGGACTGATTTGTCGTCATCGACCACCTTGCTATACATGGCTTTTAGAGAACTTCGATATCTGCGACAGTCATGGTCCAAAATAGTTTTAACAACGAATAACGCTTTAGCTTCTGAGTGAAAGATAACACCATGCTTCAGTACAAAAAACAACCAGCGACTGCCAGGCAAGATACGCCCACATTTTGCAAGAGATTAATAGAGAACAGCTAAAAACAAAAGCCAGTTTTCGTACAATCGGGGGCCATAATCCAGAAAGTTATGGTCTGGATATCGAAAGGGACTGAGATCTTTGGGATATAAAGATACATGTATATTTTAAGTTTCATCAAAATCGGATAAAAATTGTGATCTTTAGAGAGTCCAAGGCCTACGTATTACATACTATTACACAATTTGCGTACAAAGAGCGACTATTTGGTCAGGATGTTTCGTTTCGATTTTCCCGACATTAGACTTCAACCTCATTACTAAACGGTTTTTAAAAAGGATAAAAATTGTGGCCATAGATCACTAATGAATTCCCCATTGTCTTTAAATGTTAATTCTCGCCTCTTAAAGATCGGCTCTAACTTTTTCCCTAAATTTTGTAGCAACCTCTTACTCAAAAGCACGTATGGGGTTCACCATGGAAAACTTTTGACAGACAAACATGCAATTTTCCACCATACATTCCAACCTAACCAACCTCTAATCTCTCGTATGCTTCCGCCACAAAATCATGAATATTCACCAAAACATGGCAGAAAATGTATTTTCAAACCCCTTTCTTCCATACTACACCAAAAAGTCAACAAAAACCGCAACGCAAAGAGGGGAAGGGGAGAGAAAAACTAAAAAAAGCTTTCTCCCTTTATTCGCGGGTGACGGCGCAGGAATATTTGATGAGCTGTGTCCATATGTGCGAATATCGAAAAGAACCAAGATCTTTGGGTCATAAACATAAATTTCAAGTTTCATCAAAATCTGATAAACATTTTTGATTTCTAGAGGGTCCACTTGGTATTACATACTTTTACGCTATTTATGCACAAGGAGCGGCCATTTATTTTGTCCGATTTTCACAAAATTTGAACTCAGCCTACATTATGTTGTAACGGCGATATATTTATACAGTTTTTAAAATCGGTTAAGAATTGTGACTTCAAGAGTTCAAGGGTGTCCACAAGCTAAAAACGTGATTTTTGTACAATCAGGGGCAATAATCCATGAAGTTATGGTCCGATACATGCCCATATCGAAAGGAACCGAGATATTTCGTCAAAATCGGATAAAATTTGTGACCTGTACAGTATATACCCAAAAACAAATTGTGGACTGACGTCTGGATAGACAGACGGACAAGGGCGATGGCATAATACGTCCACAAGGGCGTAAAAAGGAATAAAACAATTCTTCGGAGAACTAACTAGTGACTAATGAATTCAGAACCCAGAAATGGGGTTCCAAGATGTTGATACTACAATAACACAACTGAACATTTGAGGGACAGAAGATAACTACAATGATGTGTTTAACGTTTTATATGTACAGCGAAGATCCTGAAGCTATCAGTCTAAGAATTGTACATTTGCGCATCTAAAATTGTAAACTTTACAGTTCTGCTATTAGTTATCATTTTATTCCTGAATTGTTGTCTTTTTGTCGAGAATGTAAGCAAAAGTTAGCTTTCAAGAACGCCGCACTGGACGTTTTAGAACTTTTGATTTCTCAGTGGACAATGCTCCTAATGCCCGTAATGACAACAGTTTGTGCATTGTGCTAAATAAAATTGACAATGGCCAACATAGTACCCCCCCCCCCCCCCTACCCCGCGCCACTGGGTATAATCCTATAGTTTTGGATCCTTCTTCTACTTTCAAGAACGCCGCACTGGACGTTTTAGAACTTTTGATTTCTTAGTGGGCAATGCTCCCAATGCCCGTAAGGGCAACAGTTTGTGCATTGTGCTAAATAAAATTGACAATGGCCAACATAGTCCCCCGCCCCCCCTCCCCTACCCCGCGCCACTGGGTATAATCCTATAGTTTTGGATCCTTCTTCTATAGAAAAAAAAAACTATTCTTTTTTAGTTTTCCAGAGAACTCCGCTGCAATCTGAAGTTAGTTGGGTATAATACCTAAGTTGTGGAACCAGATATTCTGTAGAAAAGGTATTAAGGATAGATTTTAAAAATATTATAAAAGGTGATTTGGGTTAAAAATGAACGAAGTGGGGTTTACGTTCTATTTTTCCGCACCGACTAGGCTAATGAAGACCGGCATGAGGGAAATTTTCCCCAGACAGTGGCGCTACGGCCTACGCTTACATGTTTATTGAATTTCAAACTCAAAAATGGCTTTTTTTATTTACGTGCACGCCAATGTGTACACGAACGAGACCTCGGTTTTCGTTCCATCCGAACGACTGGACAACTGTCCTCGTCAGGTCCTCTGTCCTGCCCCACTGACAAGGGGAACTCACAGGGTAAAATCCCGAGGAAATTTTCTCGGCCACACCTGGAGCGAATCCGAAACCCCCAGAATAGGCCTACCGTAGTTCGGATCCTACATAATAATATACTATATTATGCTACACATTTCATAATCAGGAAAAGGTCATAATATTCATATTATATTTTACTATAGAATTGATAGGCCCTACAGCCTACACTCAAGATAATCATTCTGTAGATATTATAATTTCAAGTAGAATTCTGCAGGATACTCAGTGGTCCAATAATTGGTCCCCTCCCCCTTTTTTAAAAAGATTTTTATAGAATTTTGTGTCATAAGGAATGATAAAATCATAAGATTACTATGAATAATAAAAAATAATAAAAAAAAAATAAAAAAATAAACTTCTACAATTTACATGTAAAGCCGAAAGACTACACGCTGTAGGCTACAGTTGCTTGTCTAATACCGCTGACAAAGCAACAACGCTGACAAATCATCATGTCATGGATGTTCTCGGATAACACCGGGAATCTAACCCCGATAAGACTAATTAATTACAATGATAAATTATTTTAAAGACATACACTAAAAACTATAGCCCCGATTGAATAAATTTATTATTAAATAATAATAATTTAAAAATGGGAACTACATCACACATCATTTTTATTTAGTTTTCTCGAATAAATGCCGATATTTAAATTTTACGACACTACAAAAAATTTACGACACCTTACGACCTTTTTACGGCCACGAACTTTGGATCAGCAAAAGGAAACATCGGAAATATGGCGATTGACATATTTCAATGGATTATTATTGGGTTATTGCTGCTGTTACCAATACTTTATGAGCTGAGCACATCCTTTAAATATTATGCAAAGTTCTTCTTCTTTTATGCTATTATAAACGTAATATCCTTACTGGTTGTAATCGTTGGAATATGGCGACCAAAAGATGTAAACAATATCTGGTAAATATGAATATTCAATATTGACGTTAATTCACGTATGGATGGTTAATTGTTGACGTTATCAGGCAAATATTTCGGCATTCGTGTTTGATGTTACTCTCATTTAAGATCCCAAGGGAGTCATGTCAACTATGATCTGCAACATTTCCTGGACTGAATTGCGTTTTACGTTTCAAGACTTTTGATGAGTTTTATTCATAAATAAATTTGTTTAATTATAATGTCTTACCTTTTTAGCATGTCAACCCAAGGCAGCTCGCTTTGATTACATAAACATGAATAACTGGTTAGATTTGTCAGACTAAAACTTTACATTTACATGTAGGTCTGATTGTCATTTGAGGCATTTTGATTTGAACACCTTGAAAACTACAAAACAATATTCATTGTGAATCCAAAAATTGTTCATTTCCATTCAGCATATTACAAAATTAGTCTATATTCAGTATCTTCTGTAGATTAGGTCTGTGTTCAAACCGGGTGGTGGCCGAGAAAGTTCATCCAGATTTTCTGCTTGGTTGATTCCCTAGGACAGAGGGTCTGGCAAAGGACAATGTACATGTAAAGTTGTTTGGATGGGACAAAAAACCAAGGTCCTGTTTACACATTGGCATTTCCATAAAGGAATCCTTGACAGTTGGAATTCGATATTAGTGTACATATACAAGTAGGCCATACCGTCACTGCCTACTGTTTAGAGTTATGGCCCTTGTTTCACTTTGTTGAACCTTTTGAATGTTCTAACGACAAAATTTACTGAAACGAAAGATCCTATAGAATTTCAGCAGTTTTCATTCATTTCTTCTGGACTTACATGTATGCCCATGGCACTTTGTTGCACCATGTGAACGCTCTAACGACAAAAGTTATCGTCCCATCTGTATGAAATTTATATGCATCATTTAAATAGGTGGTACAAAGAAGGCTTTTGAATTTCAGCATTTACATTACTTACTTGTAGAGCTACATGTATCATCCTTCTTTAACTTTGTTAGTTTAAACAATATTTTATTCAATAAACTGAATTGGGTTGAACAACTGGCAACTTTGTTGAACCTTGTGAACGAAAGTTATCATCCAATCTGTATTAAATTTATAATATTTATATGCATTATTTAAATTGGTCAAATGAAGAAGCCTATTGATTTCAGCAATTTCCATTAATTACTTCTAGAGTTATGGCCCTTGTTTCACTTTGAAGAACCTTGTGAACGCTCTACAGACTAAAGTTATCATCCGATCTGTATGAAATTTACATGCATCATTGAAATTAGTTAAACAAAGTAGCCTATTGAATTTCATCAATTTCCAATAATTACTTACTAGAGTTATGGCCCTTGTTTCCCTCTTTTGAATCTTGTGAATGCTTGGATGACAAAAGGTATCATCTGATCTGTATGAAATTTATATGCATCATTTAAATTAGTGAAACCAAGAAGCCTATTGAATTTCAGCAATTTCCGTCAATTACTTGTTTCAGCTTGTAGAACCTTGTGAACTCTCATTTATGACAAAAATTATAATCTAATCTGTATGAAGTTGTCTTCTAAATGCCCCCAATTACCTACAAGAGAATAAATATGCGACTACCATTGTTGGACGATTTAGGTGCTGGACAGAAGTAAGTCCTGACAAGGAACAGTGTGTAGTCGTTTTGATGGGTTTAAAAAAATAACACGTTTCTATGAACACTGCAAACAAATTGGATAATGAGGGAGATAAATGGGGTTTAACATCCACTCAACACATACCAGGTCATTTTGTGACTAACATATGATTGTATTTCAATATTTTGCTTGTGTGTATGGGTCTTTAGCAATGGGAGGAAACCAGAGTAACCAGAGAAAACCCATGATGTTGGACTTTGGACAGGCGACCCTACTAACACTGTAACCCAGGTATCGTTTAATCTTGTGTATCTAGCACTAATTTCTTTCACATTCGTTTAATATCAAATCTTTGTTTTTAAAAAAATTTGTAAAAACTGTTTAAAATCACCATAAATCGTTTAATTTGTACTTCTGTCCGGTTTAAAGGTGACCATTCAATTTTGATAATGAGTGTCCAATTTACAAGTGTTTAATTTCTCAATCATTGTTAAAAAATAAACAACCCAATTGATTAATGATGTATAATGATTAATTTTTGAACAGTGATCAGGAAATTAAATACTTGTAAATTGGACACTCATTATCAAAATTAATCAGTCAGCTTCAAACTGGACACATGTACAAATTAGATTATTTTTGGTGATTTTAAACAATTTTTACGAATTTTTAAACAAAGATTTGGTATTAAAAATCTGAAAGAAATTAGTGCTAGATACACAAGATTAAACGATACCTGAGTTACATGTACAGTGTAATTAGGGGAGCCTTGGGTTACATTCATTGTCATTGATAAAATGTAAAATCCCTTTAAATTTCACAAGATGGGAGCAAAGTACACACATAAGACTTTGATCTGACAAAAAATATGTACATGTATATAAAGAACTTTGAACACTATAGCGTTCAAAGTTCTTTATACATGACATGTTCGATCATATACAATATACATACATTGTATGTACTACTATCTGTTGTTATTATTAAACACCAACCTAAACAGAACAGATGTTTTAAGTTTTATCAAATAAAAAAACATGTTGAGTTCAAAGTTCTTTGTACATACATGTATGTCATCAAATAACAAATTGATCTACATTTAAAGGGTTCTGAATGTGTATTAATTCCACTGAACTAATCAGTTATAATTATACATGTACATATACATGTACATTATCTCTAAATCACATCAGAATTTGTTAGTTTGAAATTTGACAAATGAAAATGAAATGGGGTTTAACATCCTACTTTTGTGCTCTGCCCCAACTGGGCTAATTAAGACGGGCATACTTTTTGTACCTTATTTTCTAACAAGTTACATGTACATGTAGCTGTTACTAGTTGATAACTACATTACTTCTTTCAGCGGACAACAAAATTCACAATTTACAGTTGGGCAATTCCGTGAAAATGTCAACCTAAGTGGTAAAATTGAAATATTAAGCTACATCAATGTTTTTGGTACCAAAAGAAAGCTTATTTTGTCAACTTTTTAAAGTTAAATGTCATATTTTAGTTGATTCTGTTCTTTAGAGTCAGGCTGAGCATATTTACATGTAACTGACATCCCAGTCAGACACTGCCATTTTCACCATTTTGATTTAATATCTCAGTAAATTTAGGAATATGGTAAACTATGTAAAATATTAATGAAATTGTGTTTTATGATGATTTTCATGTTAATTAAAATCAGAATGCTGTTAATAGACCGAAATTTCAAGTAGAAAATCTAACATCAATAGATGGTATTATGTTGACGTCAGTCTGTTACTAAATATTCAAAATAATTTCTTCAGTAATTTATTTTTGTGTCAAATCCAATAAAAATGTGAATATTCTCTGAATTCAACTCACCAATTATATATATATATAAAAAGAAAAAGGGCATGTCACTTAAATTTCTCCCCCTAACTCATGGTAACAGACTGAAAAATGTTGTAACAGACTGACGGTAACAGACTGACATTGTATCGGGGTAATTCTAACAGGAAGTACACCCACACTAAATTGTGGGCTTATAACACGGTTGCATGGGCCCCTATGCATAAGCCCTTTAGGATAATATGGCATTGATTGCCCCTAGTGTACAGCAGACACATAATGTGAATGACAGACATAACAAAGGGGCATAATTATGTAAGTTATCTTAATTGAATGAATGAAAACCAAAAGTGTTCTTTCTTTCAATATGGCAGACAATCAAAGCTTATAAGATCTCAGACTAGTCTTCTTTCTATTACATGTAGTTTTATGTCAGCTTCCACCAAGGGTGATATATCGCAGACAGATTGTCTTATTTTTTTTTTATTATGCTATTAGCACACGCGCAGGGGTCTTTCCTGTGGGAGGAAACCAGAGTAAACCTCTGAGTTTGAGAAGTCGCCCCCATCTCCAAGCCACATTCGCTCACACTAGGGATCGAAAGCATGACAGCAAGCCAGAAGTGACCAGCTAGCTAGAGTTTGAATGCGACACTATGGAACACTAGGCCATGATGCTGGCCATCCCAACCCCTCTACCTATGGGACTAGTAATAGTCATAGCTACAAGTATTAAAGTTTGTTACAACAGGTAGCCTTATCAGTTTCAGCTTGAATCAAGTCAACTTTTAAATGCTATTTGCTTTCCTTCAATAACAACTATTATGGTAATAACACTATTTTTTGTTATCCCTGTTGTCTTTTAGAGTGAGAAATGGAATTGAATGCCCACTCGAAACAAGCCAAGTCATTTTGGGAATAATATTTTTCAATTTTATTTCAATTATTTGCTTGATTGTTTTTAGCAGAGGGAGAAAATTGGAGAACCCGAAGAAAACACAAGAAGTTATACAGACGACCCTACTCCTTGTTACAAACAAGCTGGGAATCAAAACCAAGTCACTTGACCTTATGATCTAAAGCGCATATAAATAGAGAAATGGGGTTCAACGTCCACTCGACGCAACCTGTGCTAGGCATTTGTGGACTTTTTTTTCAATAATGTGCGTGCATGTAGGGGTCTTTAGCTGTGAGGGGTAACCAGAAAGGTTGGACAAGAGACCTTACTCCTTGTCATGTACAAGCAGTGAATCGAAACAACGTCACTTGATTCAATGATAAACCTTATGATCTAATGTGCACCCATATAAATAAACGTCTCTAGATTTAATAGCAACAGGACAAATAATTAGTATATTTATCATTACCAGGCTGTTATAAGAAATAAAATTTAATGGATATCAATTCTGTACAGCACACCCTTGAGTGATAGCAATACAATGAGCTTAGGCAAATTGACAAACCCTACTTATGTTATTTAATTTTTTTATTGTTTTTTGGGGTTTTTTTTTTCATTGGTTTTCATTTTACAATTTTCTTACTGTTGTTGAGACGGAGGGGTGCTACTTCCAAATTTTTAAAAATCATCTTTAATCAGAATGCGTCAGTCTGTTACTGACCATGTCAGTCTGTTACCAAAGGCAATTTAAGGTCATTTATGTAATTATCCTTTGTAAACAGTTAAGTGTCTCTTGTACTTATCCTAGGAATAAATGTATGTGTGAGTCTGTCGGAAGGAAGAATGTTGGACTATCATTAGTTGTGCTATGTTGTGTGCATTTTAATACTAATATTTTGTAATTCACTTAAATATGGCTTAACCATTTAATCCCTATGTAGCTCACTACTCCTCTGATGTTTTCGTAACATGTATGGCTTCCCTTTTGTTTGGTTTAATGGTATGTTTACCCCTATTATCATTCCTTTATTATTCCCTTGATGTACCCTCACCTAGCCAATCACATCATGTATGGTTTCTCATTTGTCATGATTGGTTGTCCAATTAAAATTATTTACCCCTATAATCCGTCATATGTATATTGCCTTTGATCATGTTCTTCCATAAGTATGTGTTATAGTTTATTGCTCTATCCAGTTACTAAATGCCTCTTAAAGATCAGATCGCAATTTAACTTCTAATATGGAAAAAAATTGCCAGAAGTGAAAGAATTTAACATTTGTATAAAGGATATCTATCAATTAAATCAATCCAAAATACAAAGATTTTGTAAATCTACAAACTTCACAGGAATTCAACACTGAGCATGTGGACCATCAACGTTAGGTTGCAAGAATGTCAGTCTGTTACCATGACTTTGAGAAGTAGTGAATGAAATTTATTTAAAAGTATGTCATACTGTTTTGTATTAAAATGATTCTGCAAGATCACTATATCAATATGCCAAATATTTAGCACCATCGTGTATTTCTGAGTTAGAAGCGGACAACAGACTGATATTAACCTTCTCCAAATGTAATTTCTGTTACTCACGGAATTGCCCAGTTATCTACACTGCTAACACACTAAACTTATATATCCAGTCCATTTATTTCACACAAAATCTTGTTTTACTGTCCATTTTACAAGATTTCCAAATATTCATCAGTGGTGCAGGACGGGAAGCTTGACAAGGACAGGTGTCTAGTCCTTCATATGGGACAAAAAACACAGGTCCCATGTAAACATTGGCATACACATACATGTAAAAGAACCTCATACATGTAGCACATTGTATGGCATACGCCAATCATCAGTATGACGTTAAATCCCTTTTCATTTTTATAGGCCAGACGGGAAAACATGTACAATGTAGGACACTGTATGGCATACACACAGGCATCGATATTTCCGCGCACATGCGCACGCAGGCACAATTGCTTTAAAAAAAATTTGCAGGCACATTTTTAAAGATGTAGCCACCCCGGCGGCGCCTGCGCCCGGCACTATTTTTTACCGCCCAGCACAAAGAAAAAATCGAAGAAAGCCGCCCAGTCGTGTTTAAACCCCTTCGTCCTTCTCTGTACACAAACTCGGCGCTCAAAATTTACCACGGCAATTAAACGGCAAAGCCATGGTAACTAAAAGCCGATGTACGCAAACCATGTCTGTCACGGCATAATTTATTTTTGTGTGCCGTAGTAGACCCTATCATCCCAAATTAGTTTAAAGAAAGATGTATTGGTATTTTGTTTATTTATACTTAGAAGATGTGTAGGCCTAGGTAGATCTATATTCATTTTACAATTATTCTACGGTCTTTATATTTGTTTATTTGCCGTAAATAGGTCACCCAGACCAATTTACGGCACTCCAATGTTACAGGTTTGAATGTCGTAATTGTCCAATACGTGCCTGCAAATTTTCATGATTATTCTTATTTTATTTCTTACCTGTGTTGACCGTGGATTTGCTACGGCCCGAGAGTAGGGCTAGGAGGACGATGAGAGCTTTCTCAGTTTCTGCCTGACCTGATTCTTATTACACCGTAATAATAATAATATTCGTGAAACACGTACAACAACTTTACAAACAAGTCAAATAATACAACGTGTTTTAATTATCAATATCTACCTGTTGTCATAATTCGTTGCAGTACTCAAATAAAACACAAACACCGTTTTAAGAATCGTTTTAATTTTTAATCTCAAAGTAACAAAGTAATATTTGAAAAAAAAATCCAACAAAACAACAAATACCGAAAGGTCCTCAACTATCCAGAGAAACAGAGTAGGCTGGGACAATTTTATGCTTGGTCGGGTGGTGTCAAAAAGTTTTTAGATCCCTGTATCATTGATGAAAATTAAGTGAATTTGGTAAAATTTGAATATATAAATGGAAATTTGATTTGCACTGAACCAAATACAAAAGGCAGCAGATGCTCTGAAAATACACCAAGAAGGGTTTATTTTCATAAAAGACCACGCCCCCCTCCCAAAAAATTATTGGATTCGCTCCGCTCGCCAGATATATTTATACACCACTCATCAAATCATGGCTACATCCCTGTGTTTCAGTATGACCCTGCAGGCACATTTTCAAGTGTGTGCGCAGGCACACTCAACTTTTATAGAGCCCTGGGCATACATGTAAATGTATTAGCCATGTCGAAGCAGAATAGTAGGATGTTAAACCCCGTTTCATTTCGCAATAATTTATATTCTGTTATTTTGTTGAGAGTGATAGAGCCTTCTTAATAACAGCTATTTTTGTTTTCCAGGATTGTAATAGCCTCGATGAAAGTTGTGAAGAAGTTATTTGGAATAGAAGTAGAGGTCAGAGGTCAAGAGCATCTACAGTCTAATGAACCTTTCATATTAGTGAGTAATCATCAAAGCTCACTGGATTTCTTTGGTAAGAAAGAGTTTTTGAATTTAGGGGAAATGAATCAGCTTTGCCTATTATTAAGTGTTTAACATACATTTACACATACATTCAACACTTACACGTCAAAACATTTGGTAAATTACCACCTACCACCCTCCCCATGGTTGCTAAGTGGGTAAAACATTGGCTCGCTAGTCTGGAGGTCGGGTGTTTGATCCCTGCATTAGCCAAGAAAGTGTTTAACATACATTTACACATATACATTCAACACTTACCTGTCAAAACATTTGGTAAATTACCAGCTACCACCCCTCCCCATGGTTGCTAAGTGGGTAAAACATTGGCTCGTTAGTCTGGAGGTCGGGTGCTTGATCCCTGCATTGGCCAAGAAAGTTCATCAGGATTTTCCAGCGTGGTTTCGCCTTGTCAGTGGTGCAGGATGGAGAGTCTGACAAAGACAGCTGTCTTTTCATTTCTATGGGATGAAATAACGAGGACCCGTATATACATTGGCGTGCACGTAAAAGATCCCCTGGCAGTTGGAATTCAATATAAGAGTAGGCTATAGTGCCGCTGCCCTGGTCAAATTTCCACTGTATGGCATATGCCCGTCTTCATTAGCCCAGTCGGGGCAGAAGAGTAGGACGTTAAACCCCATTTCATTTCTAGGTGTCAATGAGCGATTTTGGTAAATTAGCTCCTAAATTTACGGTTATTGTTGTTGAATCTCTATATACCAAATTGTACGACTGGGTGGTTTGATGCTACAGGCTTACCCATATATATACCACTTGCACTTAATAATTCTATCACATTTTTATCATCTTAACAGGTATGATGACCATATGGCCTGACAGATGTACAAGTTTAGCCAAAAAGGAATTAATTTATGCAATATTTTTTGGCATTGCTGCCTGGTTGTGTGGGACTATCTTTATTGACAGATTAAACCATGATAAAGCTCTAGACACTTTAAAAAATACAGCAGAACTCATCAAAAAAGAAAATGTAAGTTTTTGGATCAATTGGAAATAAACATATTAAACATACATGTACATTATGAAAGAGCTAAATCTGCCTATTGCAGGTCTTTCTTTAGGCCTAAAATGTTATCTAAATTATTAATTAAACATTAATTAACTTATCCAGACCATAATCAACTCTCGATGTTATCTCTAGCCTACAATATTTACTGGATTTGAATCGTAAGCTGGATCAGTTAATTAAATGGGAGGCAACTACAATTAAGTTATTGCTTAGAAAATAGACGAAAAAGCCTTGTTATACATTTGTGTGGACATAATCGTTCATGTGCCTGTTCGGGAATAGCAACATCTAGATGTTGTAAAACTCGCGGTCGTTGCTTCAGAAACATGCTATACCACAGGTTACATCACAGCTATTACTGAAGCATGGAACTTGCAGTGTATTCTTTTGTTAATTTATAGATTTACAAATTTTATATTTTATTTGCAGTTGAAAGTATATGTATTTCCTGAGGGAACCAGAAATTGTGAATCGGGGATGTTACCATTTAAAAAAGGAGCCTTCAATTTAGCAGTTCAAGCACAGGTATTTACTTAAGTCATTGAATTGAAACCCACAGTCTTTTTTCATGAAAAGAGGAGTTGAGTGGCCATATGGTTAATGCATACGCATTGTATCATACTGCTAAAGACCCCTACGTACAAGCGAACATTGAAATAAACTTGAATCATATGTTAGTCCCGAAATGACCTAGTTTGTGTCGAGTTGACGTTAAACCACATTGCTTGCTATATATATATAAAAAAAATTCTTTACAGGTTCCAGTTGTACCTGTTGTATTTTCTACATATTCAGATTTCTACTGTAAACGAGATCATAGATTTGAATCAGGTAATTGTCAATTTATTTAAAGTATTGATGCACCATTTGCATTTTTGGCTTAGATATAAAATCGATGAAATTTCAATTCAACGTATCTAAAATGATGCAAGTTGAATCCAGATGAAATGTTAAACAAATTTTAGTGATGCACAATTGTACCTGGATTGTTAAACAGACTTGAGTTGTACATATGGTGATTGAGCTACAGGGCCCGATTGTACCTGAATGTATGATGATTGATTGAGCCATATGGTCTAATTGTACATGTACCTGGATTGTTAAACAGATTTTACTTGTATATATGGTGATTGATTAAGCCATATCGTCCGATTTTACCTGGATTGTTAAACAGACATTACTTGTACATATGGTGATTGAGCCACAGGGCCCGATTGTACCTGGATTGTTAAACAGACTTTACTCGTACATATCGTGATTTAGCCATATACGCAAGAACTATCAACTAGTATGTCCCAGGTCTGAATTCGAGTTTGTTTCGAGTAGACATTCAATCCCATCTCTCTCTATTTCTCTATCTTAGTCGTTTGGACTGAAAAGCCAAGGTCTACCGGTGTACATATTGCCGTGCATGTAATAGAATCCTAGTATTTTAGAATTCAAAAAAAGAGGCAGAAGCACTGCTGTCTAGACAATGAAATTCGTGTTAGTCTCACAAAGTTAGGCATTAAACTATGACATTTGTTTTTTTACATTACAGGTAAACTTGTGATACAGTGCTTGCCAAAGGTACCTACAGAAGGTCTAGGTCAAGCGGACGTAGGCGAATTAACGGAAAGTATTCGCAAGGACATGTTAGACGTTTTTAATCAAATCTCGTTGGAGATGCGACAACCGAAGTTAGTCAACGGTTTGAAATAGACAGGATCTGATCTCCTTTAATCATATCAGGTTATCTTATATATCAGCATCCTGTTTTGTTATATTGACCTATTGAACCCAGTGATTTACATAAATATTTCATCAACATTTATCATACCTTAGCAAGTTTTTAAAACATAGTGTGTTTGATAGACTTATATATCTGTACTGTTGCTTTCTGTTAAGTCGACTATTTATTACCATAGTTACAATGAAATTTGTCTGTTGCCATAGTTACAATGAAATTTGTCTGTTGCCATAGTTACAATGAAATTTGTCTGTTGCCATAGTTACTGCGAAATTCGTCTGGTGCCATATAGTTACTGCGAAATTGATGGGTAACCATAATTACTTTGAGATTGATTAATTATGAAGGCATACAATGTATTGTATCAATACATATACAATAGTTACATGTTTAGAGAATGCTACTTTAAATTTGTGTATCTCAAAATTTCAACAGTCAACCCCATACAAGCTTTGGGCTTTAGTGCTAGACATTTGGTGCCAGATGTTTTTTTCATCTGTGGTGGAGAGCACATACATGTAGCCCAAGGAAAAAATTTGGGAAAAAGTTGAAACCGAGTAAAGAGACAAGAATTACCTATAACATTTTAAAGCAATGAAAGAATATTTGGTGGTCTGCATCCGGTAGAATAAACGTTATTACCTCCCTTGAAACTAGCTGGCCCTGGTGGAAAATCCTGATTACTGACTGTAAAAGTCCCTTGATGAATTGTAAGTAATCTTTGGCAACAGACAAAAAATCTCATGACACACTTTTGATTAGAGAGTGAAAACAGACTGATCTGCAATGGAATTTCACTCGGCCGTTAGAATCACTGGCACGCATGGTGTCTGTGACAAATTGATTATGCAGCAACAGAGCCATATATATATATATATACATGTAGAGTGATACATATAATCTGGCCAACTAAGGTCATAAGTGGGTAAAAAATGTCTTTTTTTTCTCTTAATCTATCTTAACGCTACGCAATTGCATATTTTTTGCACAGTCCCAGCATTTGACCTGTTATACATGTACCTTATACGGAACTATCATTCCATTCGTTTTCACTGACATCCATTATTTTATATTTGTTATGTTCTAATAGTTGATCTGTTAAACATAAACATGTAGATAGGGTAACAAACGGACAAACATGACCACAGTTGGCCAGGCACTCTTTATGCATGTGACCTGTGGGAGCAAAATGAGTCGGAAATTGCAAGGTTTTTATTTACCATATATAGGAAAATGTTAAAATAATCTAAAAATATATTTATAATGAAAACTAAATTTGGTTATATTTTAAGCCTATTTTGAAATTTTTGTTTGTATATTGTAAATAATGACTTGTGGCTTCCAACTCATTTTGCTGTTACGGGTCACATATGGCTCTAGTATGCTGTATTTAACATCTATACGCTACAAATCAGGTATTATGCAGGTTTTCTGTTTTAGCAGGAGTTCCTCCTTTAATATTTAGTTTCAAATCATTGTTGGAGAACTGTTCAAGTTCATTGAGAATCATAGATAACTATTGGGTCTCTACTGCGGCCAGTGTCCGAAACAAACATTTTCCAAGCACAGGCCCGCAGGACTTGTGTGTCACATGATCATGTGGGTCCTTCAGGTGACAAGCAGGCCCAACCAAAAATAATAATATTTATAGTTTCCAAGCTTCGAAGCGCAGAACATAGTGGCCGGTTCATTGTTTTACAAAGCCGACAAAAAAAAAACAGTTACAAATCAAAGGCTGGTTACGCAAGTCAATGTTTGGAAAAACAGCAGCTTCCGTCATGTCGATGACAAGTAAACAATAACCGTCAATTATCGGAGACTCAGGGGCTGCGTTTCTTTGACAGTTCTACCATTTCCAGAATAGTCGTATGTGGACACTAACTATGCGAGATAAGAAGGCGAAGGCCCGGCGGACCCGAGTGAAATAGGCAAGCAGGAGTCATCCGATAAATCAGTTGGCCTCGGGCCTACGGACCGACGTTTGTGTCGAACACTGACTGCGGCGTAGTTTTAAATTGGTCTTTCTAAATTAGATAATGATTGTTGGGTTTATAACTGTTGAGTTAATTACTCCACACCTTTTGAGAAAGTAAACAGTTTTAATGGAGCTAAATCGCTAATATTTGGGACCTAGAAATTGACACAAATGTGTCGCAGCGCATATAATAATGTAATAATGTTATGTACGGCAAACTATGCAAAAGGTCTCAGTCGAATAGCAATCTCTAGCGTCTGTTTATTCTAGTCTACACTGATAGTATTTATTGCGCATGCTCTCCAGACAATATGTTGTTACCGTTTGACATGACTTCTGGAATATATCTAGTCTCATTCTTCGAGTCCCTTATTACAAATAGCGCTGAAACGCATTATGGTACACGATTTGTGTACCAATGGTAAAATGTTTATTTTGTCTTAAATATTGGATATCAGATGCACATCTTTTCCACCGGTAAGATCACAATATCAATGTTGATTTAAATTGACAAATAATTTGTGTTTTCATTGTCGAAGACGTTGGATGATATTGAGTTAGAGACTTAGTTACTTTAAAACCAACTTGAACAGTTTTTCAACAACAGTTTAAACTAAATATTAAAGACAGGAACTCCTGTTAAAACAGCATGATACCCAAGTTATACAATATATACATTTTAACATGGCATCCTTTGGGAGTCAACTCAATGGAAGACAATAAGTAGTTACATGTATTGTACTCGAGAATTTAAAAATAAAATATCAAATAATAAAAATATATGTATTTTATGATTTTGATATCAGTTTAGTTTAAACTAATTTTATGGCATCAACATTACGCCATACAATAAAAAAGGATTAGACAAAAGTCTAATCTTTAACCCTTTGGTACTTGGTACATGTAAATATTGATTACCCCAGAAAATTATAGAAAAATAATATAATAATGGTGGTACAGAAGCTCTACATGTAGATAGGGCAGTTGGGTTGGTCAGAATGCTAAAGGGTTAATCTGTTTTTATCGCAGGGTAGGTTTTGTAAAATTTTATGTTAAATTTTTCTTTTCATTTGCTTAGGACATACTTTGTGCCATATTGGAAATGCTTTTATTAGCTATTAGTATTATGTACTATTGGAAGAAATACCGGGTTTATGTACATTTGCACTCACAATGAAATTGACCATATTGATCAGTAAGCTGTAACCCATTCAAAGACTTTAGGCCTACAATAATTTGTAAATTGTGATAAACAAAATACATGAAAAAGTCTGTCTGTTACAGCTACTGAAGGTCATTTGCATATTTTGTACTATATCTAATTAACACCTTAATATCCACACTCAATAAATGCACGCATATTGCTTATTTAATATTTAATCAAGAAAATCAAATCAAAATACCAATGGTAGATAATCTCCTGGCTTGGTCTCAATTGAATTAAAAAGAGGTCTAACACTTTTAGATGGTGCTAGCTCGTTGGCAGATGATGCTGCATATTGTGAAGTTTTAAGTTCCACATACATGTATCTTTGTAACTACTGAACAAAATTGAATAATTTATGATTGATATTCCATCTATTGATTAAATTTTCACAACATTGCAATGAATTTAAAATCCCTCAAATGATGATCAGAGATTTTAATATTTTGTATCGCGATTCCTGATGTTTGATATGGGGTATTTCTTCTCTTTTTGCTGGTTTTGTAATATTTTGTTGTATATTATTACTGTATATCTATTTTAAAGTGTGTATATATAAGGTATTGCAAATTCCTGTGTTTTGATAATAAATTTATCTTAAAATTAGTTTGTAAGAACCAGTTTGAAGCATTCTCACTGAGACTTAAGTTAAGAATTTACTCAACTTTGAATCAGTGTTTATGAGAAATATCTTGGATTCAGAAACAGAAAAATGTGCACATAGTTTCTTATTGATGTATTTGATACATTAAAAGTTTAATAAAGGGCTATGTTGTAGTTAAAACAAGGCAAACAATTTTAAGTAAATTCTTACATAAGTCTGAGACAGTTTTGTGAAACAAGGGGCTCTTGTTTCAGTAATAATTGCCAGTCTTGACTGACTGTAGGACTTTAATGTTAGTCAATTTTTATGCTATGAAATTAGATTTTATGCATAAGATGCATTATGTAGGATTTAGATAAAGAGCTGACAGTTCTATAATGGCTATAATGGTTCAAAAATAGATAATGAAAAAGAAATATATTGAAAATTCCAGTCAAATTACTTCATTTTAAAGGAAGTATTGACTGTTTGAAGAATCGCCTAGTCTCAATTTTCATTGTTACCATTATGGTGCTTGTGTTTAAATCCGTTCGAAATCACAACCATCCGATGATCTAGGGAGCTGATTATTGGCTTGTCATATAAATAATTTATATAACATTTAAGGCCAAAAAGAAAGATCTGCAATATGCAGATTTAGCTCTTACATAATGTATCTTTAACCTTAAAACACAGTTAAATGTGTAAAAACACAACCGTTTTGTTCAGGTTTTTTTTTTAAAAACACATATCTTGTTAATCCAAGGTAAACGAACTGTGTCAAATATTGACTTCCTGTCAAGTGGAAGCCCTGGTAATGATCATCTGTTCAAAACATATTTCTTGTTCATTTCATACCATATCTGATGTAACCAGGATGTTCATTGTACATATGATACAGATAATCTGATTGGTGGACAGAGTCTTGAACTAAAAATATTTTAAGGATGTGGCCTGTTGATTGGTTGAGGCTTCAAAATTCAAATCCTGTTACACTTTTCAGCTCTTGCTTTCTTAAATTATATTAGTTTAAGCTAAATATATTTTGATTATTTGTTGAGGCTTCAAAGTTTAGTACAAACTTCATCTTTTAATTGAAAAGGTTAATATTCTTAAGAAAATATTTAATAATTGGTGAATAATGCCCAATTCTATATTTATAATTATGATTATAAAGACTGAACAATATGCCAAAAACATTATTTAGATACTTCAAATAACTGTGGATCTAATACAGGGTGACCCCCCAAAAAAACAGAACCCATTAAAATTTTATAAAAATTCCAAGAAATTTCGCTGGACTTAAACTTCTGTCTGTGGAAATCATTCCCCAAATTTTCAGACATCTTGATCATTTTGCTTATCCCTGATTTTTGCAGCGATCATGTGTACCTGAACAACCCTCAAACGATTGGTGAATTAAAGGCAACAATCAGGGAAATCCCCAAAGAGGAACGTGTTCGACTAATTGACAATTTTGCACGATGTATGCAAGTTTGCCTCCAACGCCGCGGCGAAGGCCATTTGGGGCATATTTTGGAATTAACATGATTTTTATGCAAAGCAACCAAGATTACTGAAACTTTGGGGAATTGCCGTACACAGACTGACTGATAGTGAAATTGGCTGATTGTAAAACTTATCTGTTAGTCATTTTACATGCCCTAAAAGTTAAAATGTCGACAACTTTGTGAACTAGGTAGTGTTCTGTACACTTGGTAATCTTTTTCTGAAAAATGACCAAGGCTCTGTCAATTTAATTACCATAGTCTCGGTCACCCAGAACCTCCTAATCTTCAACTTACTGGAGGACTAGATGTATTTGTTAAGCCCAACTCAATTTTCGTCAAGGTCGCTGAGACGTAAATAAGATTAGGGCGCGTGATTATTGGTGAGATTGTGGGTTAGGGCAAGCGTTAGGGCTCTGTCCAGGGTTAGGGTTGGGATAAGCGCCAACCCTGTTTACATCACGTGACCTCTGACCAAACTTGAAGTTGACCTTACCAATTAGATGTAACCCACATTGTTCATTATCAAAGTTTTTAAAAGTTTGTTAAAAATGTAAATATGTAGTTTATGTTGTCATTTGTTTATCACTTTATAAATAATGCAAATTTATCAAGCTTAGGCTATATTTTATACATATTCATGTATTAGATGCATTAAACCCGACATGTTATTGACAATATAAACATGATAAGGATATCGTAGTTATGCAAGGTCATCGCCTATTTAGCGTTATTTGTCGATAGTTTAATCGTTGGTGCGCGCCAAAATTGACTGTTTTCAGTCCTTAAGTTTATTATGCTTCTTTTTGCCAAATTTGCGTTCGGTTTTCATACCACTTTAAAGGGTATGCGCAGTTATATGATTTACCGTCTAGATCTCGTCGAAATTATAACGTTCTTTGATTTTTATTACTAACAGGGGAACCTCGGTTGTTAAGGGTAATGGTCACTTTTCACAGGTTCGAAAGTGACGTGTTTTAGATGTCAAAGCATTAAAGAAAATTCCAGTGTATATTAAGAAATTTAAAAACAAAAAAAAATCCCGTTTTCATTAGCCCAGTCAGTGCAGAACATCAGGAACGTTAAACCCCCATTTTATTTCATTTGTGTTGAAAAAAAAAGATAAAAACCGATCAGATTTGTATTGGGCCTGGATTTTCTCCGGGTCCGTGCCCCCTCCCCTCTAAACACTGCTACAGACTCCTACGGACAACGATATGTTAGTCCCGAAAATGACATAATTTGGGTCGAGTGGACATTAGACTCTCTCTCCATTTCATTCCTAGAATATATTATTTAGATATTTTGGTTGGTGCTTGTTCGACCATTATATTGTATGTTATTAATTTAATGTTTTATTTTTGGTCGGTGAAAAATATATTTTACCATTCTGCTAGTTTTGTTTTATATAATTGATTTGACTATGTACACAAACCAAAGTTCTATAAATAGATTTGAATAAAATGGTCGTATCTAAGAAATCAATCAGCCAAGCCGCTGTGTTAATCGTAATAATTTCAAACTTTATTGCAAGTTATTGACGTGTCGTTTACGTCGTAGTTAGTGCCGAATTTAGGCCCTAGGCTACTCCACTTATTAGATCCCTCCCCTCACTCACAAATAGAGATAGATCAGAGTGTGTTTTAATCACAACTGAGAAAAGCAGATTATGATGTTGGGTGTTTAAGACTGTAGTGCGTGTCAAAAATAGTACACACCTTGGCCGTAGGGCCCCTATAGATTTTGAGATCCTAGACTTCAGCCTGTGAATATATATAAATGAATGAGGTCGTTCTTCTTGGAATTAACTTACATTCCTGATTTTATCACGTTAAATAGATATTTCTAGTATATTGTCTATACATACAGAGACTAGTAAATATAGGTATATATATATATGTATGTAGTTATGGATTGAACAATAAATACATAAAGTTTCAACAGTTTGGTTTTATTTGTTTACCGGTCCACCAATCCAACTCGGCCGCCCAGCCGGAGCAGAACAGTAGGACGTTAAACCCCATTTCATTTCATTTCCAACTCGGCCCATGTACAATTTTGTTATGCCCTAATTCCACTTCTTGTATTCACATAGCAAACAACCCAGGTTCACATAGCTATAACCACCCTGGTTCACATAACAAACAACCCAGGTTCACATAACTAACAACCCAGGTTCACATAGATAACAACCCAGGTTCACATAGATAACAACCCAGTGAAACTACAGGGTGGGCCCAAAAAATGTTATCCATTCTGATTGTACCCAAACCCAATCAATCAGAACCAACCAAAACAACATCAGCTACATAAAGGGTGGTCCAAAAAAAATGTTACTCATTCTGATTGTACACTACTTTTTTTTAATGTGAATACAGTATCCAATAAAAACTTCATGCTTCTGTGACATTTTTCTGGAGAAAAAAAAATGAAGTATTCACATTTAAACAATTAAACAGGGCATATCTACGGACAGGACACTATACAGACGCCACAAACAACAAAAGCACATATCAGATCAAGGGAATAGGTGCGGTGGCTAGCCACACGCTTCTACTGCGCTGTACAGTCCCGGGCCTTACAATAAGGGAATAAAAAAATGAGAATATTGAGGGGTTTAGAACAAGAAATTGAATTATACTTTGATCGTCATGTAACGTAGGTCAACCAAATTTAAAACGAACAAAATAAAAAAATATCTTTTTGGATTGAAATTAAATGTTCCGTTTTGAACTGATCATTTCATCAAAACTTAAAGACATGCTTTAGAAAAGGTGGGTACGGGGGCGTCAATTCCTTGTCATGTCCTCTGTCCTGCACCACTGACAGGAGCACCTCATGCCTAACACCGGGATCTAACCACAGATATCCTTGTTAGTGAGCCGGGGGTTGGGTGGTCGAATGGTTAACGCATGACGTTGCATCACAAGGTGTGTCATTGAGTCAAGTGGCGTGGTCTCGATTCCTCGCTTGTAAGTGACATGCGCACGGTCGCCTGTCCATCCTCATGGCTTTTCTCCGGGTCCTCCAGTTTCCTTCCACAGCTAAAGACCCCTACGCGCAAAAGAATTATAGAAATAAAATTGAACCATATGTTAGTCCTGAAATGACCTAGCTTGTGTCGAGTGGACGTTAAACTCCATTTCTCTCTCGCCTGCTCTTGTTATGGAGCCTTTAAACACACGCCATTTCATTCCGTGATTTGTCTGGTAAAATATAACAATGAGACCGGGCCGAAAGTTCAAATAAAACCATTATTCTGATAAGATAAGAAGAAAACAAACATTTAACATAACCACGTATTTCTCAGTCATTTGTTCATATGTGAAACAATGCTGGTGCAAGATATGACCCTTGTAGAAGGTAACCCATGTAAATATTTAAATACTTATAATGGGAAATAAAACTTTTATTTCATAACTTGTAAATAAAACAGGAAAACAAACTAATTTAATATACAGGAAACAATTTTATGGAATACAATTACTGCTTATTAGTGAGCGACGCTTCTCTAGTCATTATCTTGAGTAAATGTCGACTAAACAGACCATTCTCGACATCAGTCAGAATGCCATTTAATAAAAGCATTTTTCACATCCCACAGCGGTGAAAACAAAATGATTTAATCAGACTCACATAGTGAATAACAAAACCAGGCGTTGACAATAAAATACGTTTAAAGTGTCTGCACTTTAGATGTACCATAAGCCTGGACTAGATCTCTCCAATATTCGTTGTGGTCGAATCAAGTGTAAGTGAGGCTGGTGAGATTAAGACTACCTGAGCACCACCACACAGACAGACAGAGCATGTTAAGTTAATTGTATAATAAAAATGAAATGGGGGTTTAACGTCCTACTCTTCTAGCTGCTCCGACTGAGCTAATACAGACGGGCATACGCCATACAATGTTTATGAGGGAAATTTGGTCCGGACAGCAGCGCTACGGCCTACTCTTATATCGAATCCCAACCGCAAAAGGATCTTTTACGTGCACACCAATGTTTACACGGAACCTCGGTAAATTGCATAATAAATGAAGAAAGAGCAACTAAAAGAAATACTTTTTAATGCAGAAAATAAAAGTTTAATGTCACAATGTGGCTTGGAGATATGGCCGCCTCCTTAACCTCGTGAATATTTTCCGGGTACTCCTGTTTCCCCCCGCGGGTGCGCTAAGCGTAATAAAATAAGACAAACTGTCTGCGGTGGAAGCGGACGTTAAACACTAATAGAAGAAAAAGAAAGGTGGGACCAGAGTTTAAAATTAGCCCCTGTAAACACCCACACCGGGGGGGGGGGGCGACTGCCCTCTTACAACCACCGCCCCACACTCTTACGCCCGCTGCGGACCATTACAGCTAAATCTATTTGTTAAGGCCAGCTCAATTTGTTTTACCAAAGTCGTTGAAATGTAAATAAGGTTCACAGATCCAGATTGTAGATTAAGGTCCGGGTAAGCATTGGGGCTAGGTTCGGGATTAAGGTTAGGGTTGGGATTAGCGCTAGCCCTGTTTACATCTCGTGACCTAACGAAAAATTGAACTGGCCTTATTATTTAGCACTAACCGACCATTACATATTCGCATTAGTAGTTTATTGATGCAGGCGTCAGTAATATATTCTCTCACAAAAAACATCATGGCTAATTGGCCTATTTGTTTGAGAAACACAAGCCATGCTGTAGCAGAAAAAAAAACCAACTCATAAGACTACCAGTCAAGTGTGTTCTCAAGACTTCCAAGTATTTATAAACATGAGATTCTTCACAACAAGTCGGTGTCGTTTTCTAGTAAATTGGACTCGAATGTCGTAAAAATGACTAGTTCCTGATAGTGTTCAGTTACATTCTTCTACACCCAGCCACCAATTCGTATTCGACGTCTGCTTCTTAGCAGTTACGAGTTATTCTCGTCTGCTGTGTAGACTCGTAGAATGAAGTAAAGGGTTGTTATTGAGTTACACAAGACTCGGTCAGTAGTTATTTCTGTTATATAATCAAAAATAAACACTGAGTGTATTTTGTTAAAATGGATTTACCGTTCTTGGACATATATCTATTAGTCTGCTTTATATGTGGTACATTAGCAGAAATGAAAATTCACAGACCCGGGTAAGTAAAAAATTTCGACTATTGCATATAGTATGCGACATTTCAGATTGATTGCGTTAGGATTAATTTAAAGCATTTGAAAGAGGTATTATCACTCTCACCACGAAAATAAATCTAACTTTTTTTGAAATAATATTACATGTAAATAATGTTATATTCAAAATACATGTATTACCAAAAATCACGCCGAACTTGTACCGGTGTACGAATAGTTTAACGCTAGACATGAACTTTACCTACCAGTAGCCCGGGTATTGACTGCACCTCCGCTAAGGCTATATAGTATATGATGGGTGGACATAAGAGCCATGGGGGTTTAGTGAGTAAGACGTCTCGTATTCGATCACGGTGTTTGCAGAGTAAGTTCATCGGCATTGTCCGGTGTCGTTCCCCCTTGACAGTGGTGCAGGGCAGAGAGTCTAACAATGGACAACGTAAAGCCGTTCGGATGGGACGAAAAACCGAGGTCCCGTGACCACATTGGCGTGCACGTAAAAATAACCCTTGATAGTTGGAATTCGAAATAAAAGTAGTCCGTAAAGCCACTGTCCTTTCACCCCCCTCCCCACTCCATAGCACATTTTATGGCGTATACCCGTCTTCATTATCAGTGGTACGGTACAGCCCAGATCAATTCGCTGTTTTAAAATAAGAGCGAATGGAATGGAGTACGTTTTATTGTACATTTTATTGTATGTGTGGGGGGGGGGGCAATATGTTCGTGTGTTTGTTCACCTCATTGAGGCAAGTGGTGTGGTTCCGATTTCCCGCGCATGTATGTGACAAGGATTAGGGTCGGCTGTCCAACCTCGTGTGTTCTTGCTCCAGGTCCCACGGAATCCTCCCACTGCTAAAGACCCATGCGCGCTAACCATTATTTTCTTAGTCCCGAAATGACCTAGTTTGTGTCGAGTTGACGTCAAACCCCATTTTTTTCAGTCTCATCTGTCACTCCCTGTGTCCCTGTCTCTCTCCCCTTTCCTCAGGTCTTATTGTATTACCCCATATATACAACTCCATGTTTGACAAATATTATGGCGGTGACCCTTTAACTAAACCGTTTTATATTAACAGAACGGAATGGCATATTTAATATACAAGTGTGTTTTTGACATTATCAGATAACCAACTGTTATCAATTATTTCTGTTGCAAATACTGTTGTATAGCTATGTAGTTTTGTGGTGTGACTAAACACTATTACTACATCTCCATATGCCAAATTAGTAAAATACAGTCGAGGCAGCTCCTCGATATTTTCCATCATGGTTTACCCTTTGTCAGTGATGCAAGACAAGGAGCCCGGCAAGGAACACTGTCTAGTAGTTCGGATGGGACAAAAACGCGATGTCCCGCGTGCTCGTAACAACCTGATTCAAACACGACCCTATTTCGTTTCGTTTTTATAGTTCAAAATTTCGGTTTACGTCTCTTTACTACACTACTAGTAGTAGAGGCCATCGAAAGTATAAAAAAGTGAAACGAAATATAGATCTGTATCTTAATCAGATTGTGCTTGTAAAGAACACTTTTCAATTGGATTTCAACGACGAGTAGCTTCATAGACTTAGCAATTCAACTTTGCTGAAAATATTTTTTAACCATCTTTTACAGAGAGCCAAGTATGCTCTGATACAATCTATCCACATTATAAATGCATTTTCGTTAAGTTTTTATCCATCTTTCACACTATTGTAAATGTTTACAGCTCAAATCCCAAATATTCACAGTCGAATTATTGCGATCTAACCAAACAACCAGGCTATTATTTCTGTTCTCATTTTTGCTTATCTCGAGTAAATGTTATGCATAATACAAAATCACCCGTCTATAATAATTCACATACGTCACAAAGATGTTCTTTATCGCCTGTGTTTGTGCATCTCATGTTTTTTTTTTCTTTTTTCTTTGTTTTGTTTTGATATACGAGGAGGCAACTCTGAAAGATATGCAATCTTGTATTTCATTTTTGTCTTCGTATTTTATGTCATAAATGTTTGCCTTTCTACACTACAGTAGCGTAGTGGGGGGGGGGGGCAAAGTGGCCGATGGCCCATTGAAAGCACTTCAATCACCCGATCAAGACGGGACTCTAACTAAAGTTTTAAAAACACAACACAGTTTATATGGAAACTGTATGTTTATATGTTTTTAATTATTATTGTTACCACGTTGTATAAGCTATTCTACTTAATTTGAATAACTGTTTATTTCAATTTCATCTGGAGTTGTATTACAAATTTAAAGTTTGCCTTATTAAACTGCAGTAACGGTGCAAATAGGGATGGGTGGGGTGGGGGGTAATGGTGACGTCTCATTCCATCTATTCCAGGTGAGAATCAAATCAAAGAGGGAAATTAAATTAAGTTGTTTTTTTTTAAATTGGAGGTCATCGCTGTTAACTTTTTTTGTTTTTTGGTACAAGCTGTCCTATATGTACACGATACATCGGTTTTTCGTCACTTTCGAACGACTGGACTCTTGCACCTAGTCAGATAAGGACTGGGACTGGCTAGTGTTAATAGTCATCAACAGTCATTAATTACTGAAAGAAGACATTAAACGAGAGTTGATACCATTTCCCTCATTTTTGTTACAAATTGTTAAACTTTATCACGCTAATCATGGACCTTGTATTATAAGATCCATGCTCAAATCAAATGAGTTTATAGCCCCTTTAATAGGCACTATATATAAATCAAATTATGTTGTATCGCTTTTAATATTTAATAGTCAAAACATACAGCAGGCAATAAAATTGGTTTTAAAATAATTTGAAAGATAATTTTATTTGGAGTAACACCTTGGTACAAAACAGCATGGTGCTATGATAAAGCAATTTAAACGTTTTATTTATGACGTATAACGTAACGTTCTATATCTAGAGGTTTCATTTATGACTTATCACGTAACGTTCTATATCTGGAGAACGCTAGATCGAAGACGTTCTAGCACAAAAATGAAGTCTTGTGTAGACTGTGGGCGAGGCTTTGAATACGGTTTAAGGCTAGGTCTAGGGTTAGGGTTACCACTAGCCATGTTTATATCTCGAGACCTTGACGAAATCTGCAGTCAAGGGAACCCTTACCCTACATATGACGTCATATGTGCTAGACCGTCTCCGATCTAGAGTGCTCCTCTATATCTGTAGATTGCATAGTGGTTCGGTTACATTTTATTTCACTGCTGCTGGTGATCTCGTTAATGATATTTGTTTACTATTATATATGTATAAATCTTATTTACCTTTTCTTTATATATATACACCGTTTACAGATAAATTCCCATGTCAGGTCGGGGTTCCTGGCAAGGTCCAGTGTCTAGTCGTTCGCGTGGAACGAACACCAAGGCCCCGTGTACATGTTGGTTTGCAAGTAAAAGAAACTTTGACAGATGGAATTCTAAATAAGTGTAGGCCTTAGCGTTTATTACGGCCCACATGCTGGTGTGGATGTAAAAGAAAACTTGGACAGATGGAATTCGAAACAAGTGTAGGCCCTAGCGTTTATTACGGCCTAGTGTGGCAGCTTTACCACATAGAGGGGGGGGGGGGGCAACTGAAAACATTTCGTAGAACGTCGTAAGCGCATGCCGATCAACCAAGACCACACATGTTACGAACGATAACGTTCCAAGCACTACCAATCCAATATATCCAATATCTCCAACATTGTCCAAAAGCTTCACATAGTAGCGAAAATGGCAATGGTGTAACAGAGGCTTAAGACGGATGTTGACCAGTTACTCGAATTTGTCTAAATTATAAACGTGTATTGATTTCATATCAAAATACATTTCTATTTAAGATTTTTTATTCAATAGAGGGTGTGTTCTTACTGATGGGTTGGCTGTTTTATACCCAGTAAAAATATACTTAAACGGGCAGTATGGGAGATTAGATAAATAGTTGACAGTTCTCCCTATAATAGTTCAAACATAGATAAATGAAATAGAATATGCCGAAACTTTCAGTCACATTGCTCCACTCTGAACCGAGATATTAGCTTTTGAATTTTAGGCCTAGCCTCGATCATCGTTACTAAAGTCGATACGGTGGCTAAGTGGGTAAAACGCTGGCTCGCTAGCCTGGAGGTCGGGTGTTCGATCCCTGCATTGGCCGAGAAAGTTCATCCAGATTTTCCGGTGTGGTTCCCCCTTAATTGTCAGGGATGCAAGACGGAGGGCCTGACAAGGACAGTTGTTTAGTCGTTCGGACGGGACGAAAAATCGAGGTCCCGTGTACACATTGGCGTGCACGTTAAAAATTCCCTTGACAGTTGGAATTCGATATAAGAGTAGGCCGTAAACCCGTCTTCATTAGCCCAGTTCGGAGCAGAACAGTAAGACGTTAAACCCCATTTCATTTCATTTCTTTGCGTATCCTAACCGTACGGCAGACCATTAGGGTCAATCAAATGAAGAAAAATTCTGATTATCTCGTAATTACCAGATAACTATTATCGCGTAATTACAACCAATGCAGAAGACCATCATGGTCAATCAAATGAAAAAATAAATCAAAACGTATTGTGATTATCACGTAATTATCTTGAAATTACGAGATAGTTGTGAGATAATTACGACGTCATCCGAATTTATTCTTAATTTGGTTGACCCTAATGGTCTTCCGTATAACCGTACTAATTACAGTTGAGAGACAATCTGATTAAAACACAGATCCAATTTCGTTTCGTTTGTATAGTTCAAAATTTCGATTTTACTTGTCTTTACTGTAGGCCATCGAAAGTATAAAAACGAAACGAAATATAGATCTATATTTCAATTAGATTGGTTGAGAGACGCATTCAAGTCGATTCTTCGACAATGATTCGATTTGCCATATAAATAAAACTAAATTCAGAACTGCTTATCCATATTTTACAAAAGGAAATAAACTTATGTTTACCCTGCTGCTTTTCTGCACCGACGGGGCTACCGAAGACGGACATGTGCCATTTATGAAGGAAATTTTACCCTGACGGCGGCACTACGGCCTACTCT